ACGGGCCCCTACGAGAACGTCAGCGGGGGCCTGCGGCGAGGGCCTGGCTGGAGACTGAGCCCCGAGGAGCCGGCCTGGAGCAGCCTTGCCCACCGCAGGGCTGCCCTGCTGCACTACGAGAACCTGCCCCCGCTGCCGCCCGTGTGGGAGAGCCAGGCCCAGCAACTGGGCGGGGAGGCCGGGGACGACGGGGACTCGAGGGATGGGCTCACCCCCTCCTCCAATGGCTTCCCGGATGGTGAGGAGGACGAGACCCCCCTGCAAAAGCCCACCAGCACCCGGGCCTCCGTCCGCAGTCACAGCAGCTTCCCTGTGCCACTGACCCGCCGCCGCGGCTCCCCCAGGGTCTTCAACTTTGATTTCCGCAGGCCAGGCCCGGAGCCCCAAAGGCAGCTCAACTACATCCAGGTGGAGTTAAAGGGCTGGGGTGGAGACCGCCCCAAGAGCTCTCAGAACCCCTCCGGCCCCCGGGCCCCGGTGCCCGCTGCCCACCCTGCCCGCAGCTCCGACTCCTATGCCGTGATTGACCTCAAGAAGACCGTGGCCATGTCTAAGCTGCAGAGGGCTCTGCCTCGAGACGATGGCACGGCCAGGAAAACCCGGCACAACAGCACCGACCTGCCTCTGTAGGGGCCTCCCGGCCTCGCCGCCCTGTGCCCCCCAGGGCCCAGCCTCTGCCTCACTCCTGTCCTCTGAACCTGCCCACCCCAGGGTTCAGGGCTGCTCTGCAAAAGGCATGGGGGTGGGACCAGATGCTTCCCCGTGCTGGCCGGGGTCCCCAAAGGTATCAGCCGCCGAGTCTCCTGGTCTCCATGCCAGGGAGAGAGGGGTGCCCGGGCGAGGAGGGAGCCATGTAAACTGTGAAGGGTTCCGTGATTGCATTTACACCTCCCCTTGTGTCCATTTGTCTTGTCTGTCGGCTGTCTGTGTGTTTTTGGTTGGAATTTTGAAACATTTTGTACCTGTTGATTTTATTTATCAGTTTATTTTTCTATTTATTGTTTTAAATGTAATTTAACATATTTATTATTAATATAATTATTTTTAAATTCTGGCTTGGTGGATAATATCTTCTTATGGAACTTTTTCCAGCACGGTTCTAAGTGGGCCTGGGCAGGCCTAATAGAAGTGCGGGCTTCGTTCTGGAAATTGGAGGTGATTGGGGCTCTTTTGACAAGTCTATGGAAGTTTCTCTTTTCCTCCAAGAAGCCTTATGCCAGAACTTAAGGGTGCCAGGGACAGGTGTTCTGTGGAAGTACAGGGACGGACAGGATGGCTGGGGTCCCGGGGACTGAAGGGGACCCGTGAGGAAAACTGCCCCAATGACATCAAACCTTGACCCTGTGAAGTTGGCAGAAGGATGGGAGGTAGAGTGGTGGGGGTGCTCTACAGGGTTCACCCCCAACCCCCTTCCTGATTCTCCTGCCAGTGGGCACCCAGGGGCACTCCTTCAACTCGTTGGCCCAGCCGGGGCCCTGGCTCCCCCTTAGCCACCCCAAGCATGTCTGTGTCAGGCCAGAACCTGCAAACAACTTACTAAAGGCCCAGGAGTAGCAAAAAGAAAAGTGTAGTGTGTAACTAGATGATCTGGCTCGTGAAGTGTGGCTCTCCCGGAGAACTGGCCCCTGGGCACGTCTACCCAACCACGAGGGAGGGACCCCAGTGGAGCCGGCACTCTGAGCCCTCGCCTGGGAGCCCGACCCCCTTCCTCAGTGCTGATGTGGCCGGGGCTCCCTCCCCCTGGCCTGAGGTGGCCTCTTTCCTCGTCCTCCTCTCGCCGGCGACCTTTCCTCCCAGACTCCATTTCTATCTTAGTTTAATTTAAAGGAAATGTAAGGAAATCCAGTTTCTGCGATAAGCCACTGAGGGCCCAGGTGAGGAGTGACCAGGGTTTGTCTAAGACTTAGAGAAAAACCTTCTCTCTGGTCATTGTGCCGCAGCTGCCTGTCCTATGGAGCTGGCAAACCTGCCTCCTCCTTCACCAAGGAAACACGCCAGGGCAGTACTCAGCCCATCCCGGTCGCTGCCCACCTCCTGTCCAGAACGCCACTGCCCCGCCTCGTTTCCTGGACCCCCTCCAGGAGTGAGGTTGGACTGACCACTGCAGACCCCCTGGCCTCGGGTGTCATTTTTTGCCAGGGGAATAGGCCATGGGGATGTGAGAGAGACCCTGTGAGTGGGTCCAGTGGGGTGGAGGTGGGGGGGCAGCCGCCACACCCACGGAGCTGGCACCAAACTCCTCTCCCTATGTCCTTCTGATCTCTGGACCAGAGCGATCGCCTGCTGCAGGCTGGATTCACTGTACTGTTTTCCACATGGCAGTAGGGCAACTTGTCCCCTCTCTGCAGCTTACTCGGGCAGCTCAACTCTGCTTTGGGGATGTTCCCACACACTTACTCCTGCTCTTTCTGTGGCCCCTGTGGTAAGGAGGGATGGTCTCTCCAACCAGGGGAACCAGGGTTGGGGTGGGGCAGGTATGGCCCAGCCAGGTCTTGGGGCCCTGGGCATGCGAGAGACCCATGGATCTGGCAGCTCCTCCCTACTGGAAAGATGCTGCCATGGGTGAACCAGAGGCTAGCTTAAGTCTAGAGACCCAGGTTCTGGTCTTGACTAGCTACTGTCTCTGTTATTGAGGCAGGAAAAAACTAGCAAAAGGAGAGCTGGAACATCTGCCTATGTAGCTAGATAGAAAAACCAGATCAGGGCAGGAAATTCCCCACCCAAGGAAATGTAGGCAGGAGATTTCCAGTGGGGAATGTCTAGCTGATTGAGCCACACTTGATGGAGCCAGTGAGATGGAGCAGAGGGCCCAGCCACATTTGATGGAGCCAGTGAGAGGGAGCACAGGGCCCAGCCACATTTGATGGAGCCAGTGAGAGGGAGCAGAGGGCGCAGCCACATTTGATAGCCACACTTGATGGAGCCAGTGAGATGGAGCAGAGGGCCCAGCCACACTTGATGGAGCCAGTGAGATGGAGCAGAGGGCCCAGCCACACTTGATGGAGCCAGTGAGATGGAGCAGAGGGCCCAGCCACACTTGATGGAGCCAGTGAGATGGAGCAGAGGGCCCAGCCACACTTGATGGAGCCAGTGAGATGGAGCAGAGGGCCCAGCCACACTTGATGGAGCCAGTGAGATGGAGCAGAGGGCCCAGCCACACTTGATGGAGCCAGTGAGATGGAGCAGAGGGCCCAGCCACACTTGATGGAGCCAGTGAGATGGAGCAGAGGGCCCAGCCACACTTGATGGAGCCAGTGAGATGGAGCAGAGGGCCCAGCCACACTTGATGGAGCCAGTGAGATGGAGCAGAGGGCCCAGCCACACTTGATGGAGCCAGTGAGATGGAGCAGAGGGCCCAGCCACACTTGATGGAGCCAGTGAGATGGAGCAGAGGGCCCAGCCACACTTGATGGAGCCAGTGAGATGGAGCAGAGGGCCCAGCCACATTTGATGGAGCCAGTGAGATGGAGCAGAGGGCCCAGCCACATTTGATGGAGCCAATAATAGAATAATCAGTGGTTCCGGCAGATGATCAACCAATACTACCTAAATCTAAAAAAGTATAAGCCTCGCAGAAGGCAACGACTGGGACCCTTTGAGCTGCTCTTTGTGCATTCAGGCTTGCTCCTACTTCTGAGGAGTGTACTTTCACCTTTACTTAATAAACTACCTTTTCCTGGGACCAGCAGTTAGCATAATGGCTATGTCGCTGGTCTCCCATGTAGTCGACTGCAGTTTGAGTCCTGGACCCGGTGGCTTAAACTCACGCCGGGGCGCGTGTGCGTGCGTGCCTAAGATCCTAAGAGGAGAATGGAGGAGAAGGGATTGTGGTGTGACCATCCCCCCTGGGGGGTGATTTCTAGCTTTCTGTCTCTGTCTCTCTCTGTCTGTCTGGCGAGCGCACGCGCCCTATAGCAAAAAACAAACAAACAAACAAACAAAAACAAAAAAACTCTCCGAAAAAAAGAAGGGAAAAAACTACCTTTTCCTTTCACGTTGGTGTGTTTTATTCAATTCTTTGAAACACCAAGAACATGGATATCACAGAAACCAATTCTGCAACACTATCGTAAGCATTTATCACCACCCCCCCAACATACGGGTCTCTGTTTTTTGAGAGATTTTTGCTCTCAGGTGGCCTGCACTCGCTGGAGAGGCAGACAGAAAGCCAAAAATCACCCCTAGGGAGGATGGCCACACCGCAATCCCTTCGCCTCCATTCTCTTCTTGGGATCTTAGGCTCATATGCACACATGTCTGGTGTGAGTCCTTCTGGGTCCGGGGCTCGAACCACAGTCAGCTATTTGGGAATCCAGCGCCTTAACTACTACACTGCCACTCTGGGCCTTGGTTTTCACACCCAGAAGTCACAGAACAGTGTGAAAAGTAGTCACTGAGATGATGAGCGAGACACCTCCATGGAAGTAGATAGACTCGCAAGCCATATTAGCAACCCAACTGTTTACGAAGAGAAACAATCAGAAGCCACAACTCTGTAGCCCCAGACCTCGGGGTTCCTGCTGTTCCTCTGCTGAACAACTCAGGAAGGAACACTTACTCTCATGCTCTGGGTTGCCAGAGCCTGGTCTGATCCCCCTGAGTCCTCCCACCAGGAGCAAGTGGTAATGGCTTCAGTGGGTCTATTTGTAGGGCTTTGGGGAGTCCCAGAGACATGGCCCAGGAGTGGGTTCTTTGCCAACCTTCCCTGTCCCCTCCCCTGGTCTGACCCATGAGATCCACCGCAGGAAATTGCCTCTCTCAGAGGGGGTGGGGTGTGAGTGGAGATTCCTGGTGGGAAGGGGTCGGTGGGAGCGAGGCCCAGGACAGCGACCCGCAGCCTAGGTGTGCCCGCCGGCTGACGTCAGGGCCCGGCACACAGAGGGAACCAGTTTCCACTGCCATCATCCTCACCCAGAGATCAGCGCCAGCACCCGTCGGGGAATGTTTGCTGAGTGCTCAGTTCTCTCCTTTAGAAACAGGCCCTACCCAACCCCTGGGCTGCCCTCAGGAAAAGACAGGATCCAGCATCCTGTCTGGGAGGTGACATTTCAGGTCAGACCAGGAGGGCCCTCCCCAGGCCCACCCCTGGGTAATGACACTTTACTTCACAACGGTATAAACACAGCCGCTCTCCACGGGCCTTAGAGGCCACTTACCTCTGCCAGGCTCACTGGGCGGGATTGTTATCACCTCCGTGCAGAGGAGGAAAGGGCCAGGAGGTGAGGGACTTGCTGCCTGTGCAGTTAATTAATGGCTTGAGCTGGGGCTGGATGCCAGGCGTGCGTCCACCGCACCCCCCCCAGCTGCCCCCAGCCTGACCTGAGGAGCTTCTTTCCCTCAAGTAGGCTTCAGGGAGAGTGTCGTGGGTGTGCCCCCCAAACCCCTCCCAGAAAGGGGTCGGGTCTCAGCCAGGGTCACATTCCAGAGCTCCCACTCAGGAATCCTTCTGAACTCCAAGTCAGGACTTGGTAGGTTACCCTAGAGGGGAAACCTGCCCTCCCTGAGGGCTCCCCCATGGCCGACTCCCACCTGCCAGCTCTGGCCCCTCCACGCTACACAGCCCTGAGAAACGGCTCTGGAGTCAGCCCTTGCCCTGGTGGTTAAGGTGGCTGGATCCCACATGGCCCACACACAGTTCAAGTCCCAGACCTGGTGGCTTGAGCAACACACTGAGTGTGTGTGTGTGTGTGAGCGTGCACGTGTTCAAAATCTCAAAAGGAGGGAGAAATGGAGGGAAAGGATGCTGCTTAACCATATCCCATGGGGGACTTTTTTGGCACCCTACCCCCCGCCCATCAGTTTAAAGTAATTGCAACTCCCTCTGGCAAATTTTAGAAAATAATAAAGAGTGAAAACATTAAGAAATGGCTCTGGTCTGTGGGAAGGGCCAGGGCAGGTGTGCCAGAGGCTTGGTCTCACCTGCTCGGTGTCCCTCTCCCGACAGGGACTTCAGCCTCCA